TCGTGGACGTTACCAAAGATGAAAATATTATTAATCGATTTTCTTCATTAAACAAACTTCTTCGAGTGACAGCTTATTGTCTTAGATTCGTTTATAATTGTCATAAAAAGAAATCCGAAAGAAAGATCGACAATCTGTCGGCAGACGATATCGATGCAGCAGAAATTGTGTTGGTGAAGCAGGCACAAAAATGTTTTTCAGATGACATCAGACGGTTTAATCTTCCGAAACAATTAATGAAAAGTAATAAGTTGTGTTCATTAAACCCATTTGTTGACAGTGCAGGAGTACTAAGAGTGGGCAGCAGATTAAGAAATGCAGATTTATCTGACAACCAAAAGTATCCAATAATTTTACATACAACGAGTACTTTGGCCAAACTCATAATCAATCAGGCGCATATTAATACGATTCATGGAGGATTAAAACTGACGCTTAACTACGTTCGGGAAAAATTTTGGATTATTCGTGGAACAATCGCTGTGAAAGCTTGCATCAATAAATGTTTAAAATGTTTTCGAATAAAGGCAAAAGGACAATCTCAATTAATGGGAAGTTTACCAACACCAAGAGTAAATTTCTCGAGGCCATTCACACACTGCGGCATAGACTATGCAGGGCCATTACACATTAAATGCTCGCAATTCAGGGGAATTAAAACACATAAGGCGTATATAGCTATTTTTGTATGTCTGGCAACAAAGGCAATTCACATTGATTTAACTTCAGATCTGACATCTCAAGGATTTTTAGCAGCACTCAAACGAATGATAAGCAGACGTGGCTCAGTACATCATATTTATAGCGACAATGGTACCAATTTTACAGGTGCAAGCAACATTTTACGGAAGCTTCAAATAGAGAATCATCTAGCTGAAACAGGTATACGTTGGCATTTCATCCCTCCTGGCTCACCCCACTTTGGTGGTCTCTGGGAATCGGGAGTAAAATCCATTAAATATCATCTAGCTAGAATTATAGGTGACCAAAAATTGACATACGAGGAATTAAGTACGGTCTTAATTCAAATCGAATGTTGTCTTAATTCACGGCCACTCTGTCCATTAACAGACAACATTGAAGATCTTAATGCACTTACACCAGGACATTTCATTGTGGGATCGTCATTAATGACTCCAGCGCATGATAGTCTTATTAACTTTACAGAAACTAGCCTAAAAAGATGGAAGATTGTGCAGAAAATGAAGAAAGACTTTTGTAAAGGATGGTTCCAAGACTATATGAGAAATATTCAACAACAGAGATACAAATGGACAAAATCCATACCAAACTTAGAAGTTGGTCAACTAGTCATATTGAAAGACGAAACATTAATATCATCGAAGTGGCCTCTAGGCAGAGTTATAGAAGTTCATACAGGAACAGATGGCTTAACCCGAGTTGCTACAATTAAAACCCAAAAGGGGATAGTAAAACGTACAATCCAAAAAATATGTCTTCTACCAATCACTGATAATGTAAAAGAAGGTCATATTCCGTCAAACCAGGAGAAGTTCCCAAAATTATTTAAAGAAGCAACATTAATCAAAGCAGAATCAGACACTCAAAATATGTTACCATTTGGAAACACTATCAGAAATAAAGAAGTAGTTTCGACAAAGTCTACTGCAGGAGATCCTAAAACGCGACGACAATGGTTATCGGCTAAGCAATCACAATCGACAGTTCTTGCTATATTTTTGGCATATCTCACATTAGGAACTACATTAGCCACACCCACTATAACATATCCCGAATCAGGATTATTCATTGAAGGATTAGGCAAAGCAAGAATACAAAGAGGAACACTTAGAACCACTATCACATTTCCAATCCGTGACATAATTCAAGATCAAAGGAACGTTAATAACACCATAAAACAATTAACAATGTTGTGTACCAAGTCAAAGGCTGTCAATCTTTATATACAATGTGACGATTTAGTTTCCAATTTAAGTCATGAAGGGCGCATTTTAAGAACAACCATTGATCGATTGTTGACGGCAGAATCATCAGTTACAAGAAGTCCTCGAGGAATATTAGGTACAGTGTTAACAACACTTTTTGGTGTAAACGATGAAGTGTATCACGACATTGAAACGTTGGATCAAAATCAGAAATTATTGATCCAAAATACTAAATCAAATGCTAGAATCATGATATCCACAATAGCGGCAGTAAACAACACGGAAACTAAAATCATCAACAAAATCAACAGCTTTAGTAAAAGACTAAACGAAGGATTGCAGGCTATCAGTCAGATGCAAGGTTGGCATGATATCGGAGAAGGAAATAAACTGAATATATATGTACTTAATTCATATATAATGGCATCCAATTACATTCGAGAAGTAGAATCAAAATATAATAAGATCTTCAATGTATATTTAAAACGCAGTCATATTTATGAATTCCTTTCGCATGATGAAATCAATGATATTATAACTCGATGTTCCTCAAAAATTGGACCAGAAATGTATGTCTTACCAATTCCGATGAACAGATTGGAATGTGTTCGAGATACTGACAACGTTATAATTTATGGTTATTTCACAATCAGCGATATAGAAGAATATGAAATCGTTAGATTCAACACGATTCCAGAAAGAATTAATGAGAATATATATCAAGAAATCGAATTGTTAACATCCACATTTGGCATCAATTATAGCAGTAAAAAATATTTTGACGTTACTATCAGCCAAATGGAGACTGCAACCAAGCTGAATAATGGTACTAGGTTACTTCATCCAACAATATTTTACAACATTGACGAGAGTTCCAATTGTGTAATTAAGCAATTGTATAATAAATTAACATTCGATAACTGTCCGTCAAAAAGATTTCAAGTTATACAACCAGTTTGGAAAGAGCTTTGGACGCCCAATGCTTGGATATTTATTACACCAAATTTAACGACAATTCATGTAATTTGTCATATTGAACGTGAAGAAGTAGTTCTGAATTATACGGGAATCATTCATATCTCTCCAGATTGTGTAATACATTCTAAGACTATTCAACTGGAAGGAAGAATGATGAAAGAATTTCAATCAATCACACACCACGTTAAACCAATCAGCATGCAAAACATTTCAATACCTGACAGTAGAATGCATAAAATTACAAATGAAACCGTTATCCCACTGGTGCAAGATTTATCAACTATGCTTTTGTACTCCGCAAGGGATGCGCAAGACAACATGGACCAAGTCAACGAAATATCTTGGAAAACAATAATGACTCATCAATATTGGAAGAAATGGGTCATCGGGGCTACAGCTATAATAATAATCATATTCGTTGGAGTATTATATTACATTTGTTACATTAAACCGAGAATACCATCATCATCAGCCAATAATCAAAAAGTTTAATACAAATAAGACTCTTAACCATTTAGGAGGGCGCTTAAGCCTTATAAGGCAAGCGTCTACAAATAACCAGCCGTCTAGAGCTCATCCTCAGGCGGATCGAACAAGTATTGCCTCGTCGTCGAGAATCTCGGCAACTGTGCCAGGACGTGATACTGCCTCTTGCTCTTCTGCCAATGCAGCGCTCAAAGCTAAAACACCAACTGCTCCATCAGCAACCAACACCAACTCCAATTCATGTGCGGAATCCCACCCTAACCTCTCAACGAGGGCGTATATGGCGCGGAGGTCAGCATATCGCATTCTTTGTAGGCTTAATGCCGCGGATACTTCCTCGCTTTCTGTAAGCGAAAATGCATCACTGAAGTGGGCAAAGGAAAATGTCAATCTCCAGCCCACTGATATCCCATCTACTTCTGCCCCTGCTCAAAAACAACAAAGGTCGATTGAGCAGGCCGGCAAATCAGAGCCATAATAATAACAGTACCATAATTGCAAACATCTAGTCTGTTGAAGCTTATTTAAATTAACCTCCAACACTCCAAAACTGCTTCGGCAGCCTTCACCCTCCGCCTATCCGATAAAGGAGACGATATTATGCTGATCCAAGA